AAGTTTAAATTCTGATTTCAAAGCTTCTATGAAACTGGTGTTAGCATTAAACAATTCTTCCAAAGTTTTGAACGTATAGTTGAAGCGAAGCGTTACAATGAACTAATTTGTGAGTATGAGTCCCGACATAAGCTACCAATGTTGAGATATGAGATGTCTCCCATCTTGATACAAATGGGAAAAATTTACACTTATCCTATATTCACCCTTTTCCAACAAGAATTTACTTCATTCTTAGCATGTTGCATTTCAGAGAGGATTGAATCTCCTCCTATATTTGAATATGTCATCACTACAGTCAATCAAGAGAAATCATGCAGAGTATCATTTGATAATGTCTCAAAATCAATTTCTTGCACCTGTAAAAAATTTGAAACATTTGGTATGCTTTGTTCCCATGCATTGAAGGTATTTGAAGCAAATGATGTCAAGGCTATTCTTGAAAAATATATCCTTAAGAGATGGACAAAGGAAGGTCGTTCCGGCATTATAAACAATTTCATACGAAGAGAGATTGAGGGGGATCCAAAAGTTGCTACCACACAACGATACAGACAACTTGCTTCTAAAATGATTAGACTTGCATCAGAGGTATCTAGTTCAGAGGAATACTCGACATTAGTGGATGAATGTTTAAATGTTGTGTGTCGTCAAATCTCACACCTTCGATTACAAACACAACATGTTGACAGTGACACTGACAATCATGCATCTAAGTCGATGATCAATGATGGTACAATCCCAAAAGGTTTCAAGCACCGACCAAGCTTAAAGAGGAATACATATAAACGATTCAAAAGTTGGGTTGAACTACAAGGAAAAAGGAAAAGAAATAGGATAACGAGAGGTCAATTACAAAACCAACATGCTAAGGTACATATATCAATCAATTTGCTAATGCATTACTTTCAATTTTGATTCCTTACTAACCATATGGTGTTTATTTGATAAATATTTTAGGAATATCAACTCAGTCCTCCTTCTGAACCTTGTGATATACATTGTTCAGCACCTCCATCTTATCATCCTCCTCAAACTTTGAACAATCAATTCAATTTCACTACATTATTGACCGTAAGTTCATTAAATTTCAAAATGAAAATTTAGTGCTTTAGTTCATCGTTGTATAATTTTGTTTGATGGATTTATGTTTTTTTTTTAGGACCCTTTGGATGACACAACTTGTTCAATCCTTGATTAATAATTAAAAGTTGTTGTATCTTAATCATTTTATTTTCTTTTGCCAAAAACAATTATGTAAAGGACAAATGTATTTTGTTTTCAGAAATAGTATATCCATGTCTGTCAATTTAAGCTGCTGTTTTTCAATTTTCCTGCATTTTCGCTTAAGCCCCCCAATAATTGCTTAAGCCCACAAATTTTGCTTAAGCTACATAGTTCTCGCTTAAGCTGGTATTGGTTCGCTTAAGCCAATATGTTATAGCTTAAGCCAGTTTATCAGTCCAAAAGAGTATTCTTTCTGCATTCTTTTTATGCAATTTTAGCTTAAGCTAAAGCATATCCGCTTAAGCTATTGGTTTCTCCGCTTAAGCCAAGCCATGAAGGCTTAAGCGAATGTGTAATCCTGGGAGGTGTGCTCTCTGTTTTTTTAGGCTTAAGCCATTAAGGTTTCGCTGAAGCCCATCATATACGCGCTTAAGCCTTATAAATATGCGCTTAAGCCCACAACTCATTAGCTTAAGCTAAATCAAGCACGCTTAAGCCATTTTGTAATCCTCTCTGTTATTTTTCGCTTAAGCGAGTATATTTTAGCTCAAGCGCATCACCCATTCGCTTTAGTTCAATGTGTCGCTCCATACTTGTGGTATTGGCTTAAGCCTTCGTTCGCTTAAGCTAGCCTATACGGGCTTAAGCGAAAATTGTCAAATTCGCTTAAGCCGTGTCAAAATGGCTTCAGCGAATGAAGAACTGCACGTGCAGTTCCTGCGTCAACTGCACTGGATCCGTATATCAATGTCAATTCTAATTAAACAAAACATTAGAGCAAAAAAAGTGATGCGTGCATATCGATGACATTTTCAATTTAAAAAATAAGTATTAATTTAAAAATTTTAAATTAAATTTTTATTAATTGAATATTAATTTATTAATATAAAATATTTTTATTATTTTTGATTTTTTAAAATAAAATTACTATTTTCGTCCCTTAATTTTAGGATAAAATTTATTTTTGTTCTCTAACTTTTTTTTTGTTCATTTTAATCCTTTAATTTTTAAAATTTTTTTAAACAGGTCCCTTTCAATTAAACATCTTAACTCAGTAATAAAGTTTTATCTTTTTATACCACGTGTATTGTGTGTTATTATTCATTATCTTTTTTAGATATAGTTTTTGGCATTTTTTTTTCGTCTTTCTCTCTTTCATTTTAATCTTCTTATAAATAAAATTTTATCTTTTTGCCACTAACACCAAGTATTCATTCTCAAATCTCAAACCATAAATAACTCAACTTTTTAAATACTCATTTTCTATCTTCGGCGGTCTGTGTTTATTTTTAAATGATGTTTTAAGCTTCCGGAACACAACATTCTTGTTAATAAAGGTTTGTGAGGTCAAGGTAGTATGAAAAATCAATAAAATAAAAAATGAAAACATGTGTATATTCAGATCTACCGAAGATAGAAAATGGGTATTTAAAAAGTTAAGTTATTTATGATTTGAGATTTGGGATGTGTGTTTGGTATTAGTGCCAAAAAGATGAAGATTTGAGTATAAGAAGATGAAAATGAAAGGAAAAAAGAAGAATGAAAGCTACCAAAAACTACATTAGAGATCTGAAAAAGAAGACTATAAATAGTAACATATAATACACATAGCATAAAATAACAAAATTTTCTAACAAATTAGGGTGTTTAACCAAAAAAGAGCTATTTAAATTTTTTTTAAAAGTTGCAGGATTAAAATGAACTAAAAATAAGTTAGAGGATGAACCTAAAGTTATTTATGATTTGAGTTTTAGGGTGGGTGTTTGGTATTAGTGCCAAGAAGATGGAGATTTGAGTATAAGAAGATAAAAATAAAAAGGAGAAGGGAGAATAAAAACTACCAAAAATTATATCAAAGATCTGAAAAAGAAGACTATAAACAGTAACATATAATACAAATAACATAAAATGACAAAATTTTCTAACAAATTAAGATATTTAACGAAAAAAGAGCTGTTTAAAATTTTTTAAAAATTAAATAATTAAAATAAACTAAAAATAAATTAGAGGATGAACCCTAAAGTTAAATAACGAAAATAATTATTTTACCTATTTTTTATTAATTTTAAGTAGATTAATTTATTAACTTATTGATATGTTTTTTTTAACATGTCAATCTATTTTTAAATAATTAATTTTTTTAAATATTTAGTAGACTGACCTGTTAACACGTCAATCTACTTTTAAATAATACAAACTAAAAAATTTAGTCTATTTTTTAAATGAATAATATAGATTACTTTATTTTTTTGAAAAACTTTGGTGACGCCACGGAATAAATACTGTGAAAAAAAACATTTTATAATGTAAACGTGTCAAGACTCCTTGTCTCTTTCAATATTATATATAATAAATACAAATACTACATGTTTAAATTAAGTAGAGAGTCAAACAATTTTTTAATGATAAAAGTAAATTTCGGTAATTTTATAAAAATAAAAATATATTTAAAATTTTTTAACAGTATTGTTTGGAATCAAACTCTAAGAACAAACTGAGAATTAGTATTAATTTTCTCTAAGGTTCTATACATGGTAAGACGATGACGATGACGATGAAGAAGAGAACAAAAATAAAAAAAGACTTAAAAAAAGGGATACATATATAGAAGTAATAACATTAAGAATTTGAAAAGAAATACAAAAGTTTAATGAAAAAGTAAATAGAGAATGCATTTTCTTTAATCACTTTTTAGCGAAGTAGTCGCAAACATTTGATGTGTTATTCAAATTCAAAGTGTGTATTAATAGACACAGAAAAAGACTGTAAACTCCTCAAAGTTGCATGCTTGGCCTATAATGAGTTATTTCTTAAGGTCTAATTTTGATAGACATTATCAAATTTATTTAAAAAAAATTACTAATCATTAACACTCAAGTATTTTAAATGCAACGCAAATTTTGAAAATCTATTTGATCGTGTATAAAAATTCTTCTATCTTCGTTTTATAATTGATATTCACACTTTCTAAATCCTTATCAGAACCTCTACTTTTAAAATTTTTATTAAAATTATCTTTTATCAACTTCGATTGAAACTATTGCTTCTTTACAGCTACTTAAATCAATTAACTATCTTTCTTTCCAAATAATAGTGAATAGTGATAACTCACTGTAAAATATATTCTTATAGTATTAATGTTGGGACATACGTGAGACCTTAAAGATACTATCAACTTTGAAACAAATTATTGTGAATGAAAATACTCTTGTTCTGTATTGAGTTTTTAATTTTTTTAATATATTTCTTAATTTTAAAAATTATTTCTTTAATTTAATCCTATTTAATATAATAAGTTAGTTATTAAAAATAAAAATATTTATTCCTTTAAACTTTTATAAAATCTATTAAATTTAATAATAGTTGTGCAATATATTTTAATTTAATAAAAAATGATAATTTCGCATTTCTTATTCACATTAAAATCATACACATGCCTTGGTTTATTTGGAGGATCCATGCCCAGCCACATCAACTCTTACCCAACTGTTACATTGATGCAATGAAAAGTGATGTACAACTATCAGCACCTCAAATAAATTTCATTCGCGATGGTGTATAATATTCTAAATTCTTATGATATTAAAATATACACGTGTGTTTGGAAAAGTTATAAAATATTATAAGCACAGATGTAGAACATAAATTATAACTAATAATTGTGTATAAATAAAATATGAATCCATAACCATTTTAACATAATTTCAAACACTCAGAATTTGATAATCAAACTCATGTTGCATGCTTCAAATGATGAAGAAAAATCAAGGAACTTATGACATTTGATCCCTTCCAAGATAATCTAATATTCTATTTGAGATACAATATGCAGTTGCTTGGATTGTGATCATGGGATTGACACCAACAGCTGTTGGAAGCACACTTGCATCACAAACAAATAAGCCTTCAGCCTCCCATGTTTCTCCATTTTCATCAACTGCACCTTGTTTTTCATTGATACCCATTCTGCAACTTCCCATTTGATGTGCAGAACAATATATGTTCCAATTCTTACCTGGTGAAAGTGCTCCCTCCATTGGATCCACAGTATCTAAGAACTCTTGCACTTCATTTTCACTAATTCCACTACACTTAATTCTCTGACCATCACTTCTGTGTGTGCCTACTTCAACTGCTCCTGCAGCTATTAGAATCCTCAATGCTTGCTTCAAGCCAGCCTTCATATTCTCTTTGTCAATTGCATTCAATTTGTAGTTGATCCTTCCTTCAGTTGTTACCTGTCCACAAGCCATGTCTCTTATTATTGTGATCAAATGTGAAGTTCTTGGGTAATTTAGCATTCTTTCTTTGAAGTCTAGTCCAGATTCCCAAGGACATAGTGAAGCAAAGGATGCTGGTCCTAGCAAAGGGGTTTCAATTATGGCTCTTGAATCAGATTTTGGGTCTGTTGATGGTACTTTATGGACTGAAGTGATTATGCCTCCCTCGTAGACTTTACCTTTGAGTTCTGAATTTGATTCTGGGAAGTATCCCCATGTCATTAGGACAGGATGGAGGTGAAGGTTCCTTCCAATGTTCTTATTCTTTAATCCACTAGAGATCATCAAAGGGGGTGTTAAAAGTGCCCCACCAGCAGAAATAGTCACTTTGGCCTCAATTTGCAGCTTTATTGTGACCCTGCTGGTTAATGCTTTTGCCATCACTCCCAAGCATTTCTCCTTTCTGCCATTTCCACTTCTGTTTCTTTCCAACAAGAACCTCTCAGCTTTGCATCCTGTTATTATTACAGCACCTTTGTCAACAGCATCTACAAGCCATGTAGCCTGAGTCCCTTGTTTCTCTCCTTTTGGACAACCATAACCACATGAGCCACAGTAATGATTCCCTGATGAATTTCTTGGCACATAGTCAACTTTAAGGCCAAGATTTTGACACCCTTTTCTCAGTACTTGATTTTGGAACCCCTCTTGTGTACAATTATCTGTGACACCAATCCTCTCACACACAGTTTCCATTGCAGAGAGATATTCTTGGCTTGAAAAGAAGGAAAGCTTGTGCTCTTCAGACCACTCTTTCAGTACTTTGTGTGGTGTTCTAATGCAAGCAGACCAATTAACAGCAGAACCACCACCCACAGTTGATCCCGCCAAAACCAGTATTCTAGAGTCCACAGAAGCAAGGATCCCTCCAGTTTCATATAATTGATCCATGGAAGGCCCTTCTAGAGATGAATAATCCTTAGGAACAAAATAGTTGCCTTTCTCAAGAACAACCACCTTGTGGCCAGCACTTGAAAGAACAGCAGCTGCAACACCACCACCACAACCTGACCCAACAACTAGTGCATCACATTTCACTTTGAGGATATTGCTTTTGGTGTCCAGTGTAACACTGAGGCCTTTCTTAGCAAGAGATTCTAGAATTGTTGAGTCAGATTCATGCATGGTTTCTATAATCCCCTTTTCAAGAGGCCTAGTGTTGGAGGCGTTGGTCAATTTCTCCTCAGCTGATACCTCATATCCAATGGCTTTCCATGCTGGGTTTTCACCATTTTCATCAACCTGCAAACATTTCAAAAAAAAGTTATAAAACTTTCTTTTTTTAAAAAGAAATTTGGCTTGATAAATAATATTTTTAATATTAATTCATTATATTGAGATGCCAAGTAAATCAAATGTAACAAAGGTAATTAGTAGAGAACTTTAGACCAAGTTTGAAGAATACCCAAGAGAAAAAAACAAAGAGGCACAAGACTTTGATGTAAGCAAACGCCAGTCTAATAGGTGTGAGGAACCTATGCTTCAGCCACCTTTGCACAACCTTTTCTCTTTTCTCCAAAGATATGTTTGAGAAGTTGTTGATAAAGGGCCATTTCCCACCAAGACAGAGCAGACCACAAAACAACAAAGTGCCCAGCCTTGTTGCTAGCAGCCATAAAACCACTCTAATCAGTATTACTGCTTCTATTAACCCCCTCTTCACTAATATCTCGGCAACCTGTTACCATTGAAAATAAAACATGATATATGAAATATGAGATATGAAGAGTGTAGACAAAAGATTATTCAACTAATTTTATAAACATTACATTGTTCAAGTTCCGCTTAAAGATCAAGCAAGCCTCTCTAATGCTTGCAAATAAAAATAATTAAAACTAGTTGAAATTATACAGAATAAAATGAATCCATGCATATAGTTCAACCAATATACCAAATTGTGTTACCTTTAGGATAACATAGTAACATAGGAAATTTCTTATCTGAGCAGGCAAAAGTGTAGGCAAATGTTTCAGTCTCTCCCGCTAAGATGAAAAGAATTTCAATTCATAAAACATAGCAAAACAATCGTAAGCACTAATAGTGCAGAAGATAAGTTAAAGATTCATCCTCACATTTTAGTAGATTAATATCATATTATACTAAATTGAATCAAAAGTGAATGTACTAGTATATAATTCGGATATGAACTCATTCTATTATTTTACTCCCGTATTGCATGAAAATAAGAATGTCATCTTTCCATGAAATAAGTCATGCTGTTAGAAGACTGTCGAAAAACACTTAAGTGTAGTTTCATAGGTGCTTTTTGATCTTCAATCAAGATTAATTTTTTACCTCATTAATATGTGTTAACTTATAATGCTAACTTTTATTGTGTAAATTACTGAAATGATATTAGGTGAATTAGGGGTCACATTTATTGATTTGTAGCGTACAATTACATGTATGAATTCTTCTTTTTCGTTACATGTTTTCCAAATCTCACAAAAGGAGTAAGATAATGAGTTTCGATTTCGCAATTACCTTCTTCCATATCTTATCTGAAACTACCTTAATTCTCATATTTATGTGATCATGTAGGTACACACACAAGAACAAAATGCACAACAGCCATTATTTGTGATAGGAAATTGTTTTGTTGACAACAAATGGAACAGCTAAATCTTGTGTCTTGTATTAAATTTTTGAAATGTGAGTATAAAAGCAAGACACGTAAATTAAAGATAAAAATAATTATATATAATATCATTGTCAATTTTTAACTGTTCAAATAGTTAAATTGTATGATATATATGTAAGTACATGGAGCCTACATGAGTCCAACTTGTACCTTCCAGCTGTTATACCTTGCATATAGGAATTTCTTGCAGCCCAGAAGAGAAAGAGAGGGAAAAATATAAAGCATAGAAGCAATTAAGAAGAAAAATATATAATATACTAGTACACATATGTGTATACCTCATGTGGAATTGGATAGCCAGAAGCAGAAATGTTCCAGAAGGATTGCACAAACTTGTTAGGCTCTTCATCAGCTTGGTCTTCCTTTATGATCTTAAGAGTATCCTTTGGCAAAGGAGGCAACACAACCTCACATATGCTAGCTAGTGACTCCATCTCAGCTTCAGAAAACCCATGTTTATATTTGTTATCCCTTCTCCCTCCCCTTAACAATGGATGGCACTCCCTTCTCATCTCTATCTAGGTGATCACCAATTTAATATGGTTGCCTTGACTGATGCAAAAACTAAAGGTATGGTAAGGCTTAGTGCACTACGTCTATGAATAGATGGCTATATATAGAAGTAGAATATGCAAGAGAGTACTATCTGTTTTTGTGAAAATAATTGTGGGGAGGTGGAAGGGAAAGAAAATGATAGAAAAGGACATGTAATTGATCACAATGTTATTGTTTATTCTTTGCTTTAACGGTATTTATATTTCAATAATAAGATTCATACACTTGTGCAATCGATTACTTTTCATTTTATTTTTATTTATTTCTTTGTATCGCAACAAATCATGCACAACAAAAATTACAATAAAGATTATTGGGATTGTGGGGCATGGGGTAAAAGGAGTGTCACTCTTATAAACTTTCAATGTTTCTGTAGAATAGAATGCCGTATGTAACTAACTTTTGCGACCTGCCAAACCTGAACATATGGACATTTATTAATTAATGAATACTCTTTTTGGTAAAGAATATTTAATATTTTTGAATAACTATTTATTATTTTATAAAATGATTAATAATTTGAATTTAATAAATATTTTTTTTTATTTTCTTCAATTTTTAACAATGTCTACGAGGAAAATCTTTAATAGAAGTTTACAAAAATAATAATTAATTATTTCTCAATAAATTTTTAATGTATATTTAGAAACACATGATTTGAAATTAATAAATAATAATTTTTATTAAAAATTATAAGATTTAATATTATTAATCTATTAGACCTTATAACATCTTGTAATATATTTTTTGTGTGTCCTCTCGAGCATACATTAAATTTCATTTAAACAATTACTTCGAATTGGAAGTGTTAGTAAGTTAAAAATATTTATAATCTCAAAATTATAAAAAATATATTTAATAATTTTTTTTTCTGAACTACATGTATCCTCCGTGGACAAATAAAACTCTTTTTGAAGTATCTAATGCTTTTTAAGAACATTAAACAGCTAAAACATTTATTCTAAAATTGAATCCCTTTTAAAAATTACCTAATTTTTTTTAATGACTAATTACAGTAAATACGTGGAATCCACAAAGTCGCCTATTTTGACTTGGGGTTCGAAGTTAGTTGGCAAAACTAATTTTCTAATGACCATAATGCAACAACTACAACGATGGCACATCGTATGTGTGTGTATCTCTTAGTGAATAATGTTATTGCCATGGCTGCATAAGAATGAGTTTCTTTTTTATCATTTATATGATATAACCTTTCTTTCTCATGAATTGCAAAATATTAATTTGATTTAGTTTTTATTTACATTTAAACTAAATTAAATTATATATTATTTTTAAAAGTGAAATTAAATTAACTCGAATCAACACCAAACTTAACTTCAAATCCTCAACCATGCTGGTGAGTCAATTTAATCAAAATCTATCTTAACCTATATCTGTTTTTATCTTTAATATATATATTATGTCAAGATCATAACTATTTTTCATAAAAAATAATTTTATTTGAGACAAATAAAATTATAATGAATGATAAAATTTATTTTTTAAATATTTAATGTAACTACATATAAGATTCAAATTTAAACTGAATAAAATCACTATAAATGACAATTATTTTCAGTATTTAATACGGCTGTATTTAATAAGACTCAAATTTGAATATTTTCCTAAGGAAGTAGTAGATAATAATGGCAGCTAACAAGAGGAACCAAACTCATTTGTGGATTTAATTAAATTGAATCAATAAAGTAAAATAATAAATTTTTTTGTTATATATAAATAAATTAAAGAGATATACTTTTAAAGTTATAGAAAAATTTATACAAAATAAATTATTTGAACTGAATTACATCACTTTTATTAATATAATGTATCAAATTTAAATCTTAAAAGTTAATTTTTAAAAAAATTAAAATAAAGAAAATATATTTAATTTGACATGATATATTAATATTCAGACTTAAATGCATTTTTAATTTAAATTATTTCCAAAAAAATTTAAAGATGATGATATTATACTATTTGTCTCAAAATTTAGTATTTAAAATCAATTTTACATAGTAATACAGAAATTAATTAAAATATTACCTACAAAATACAAACTAAGTAGTTAGAGTAAAAAAAAATTAAAAATTATATATGACTACACTTATCAAGTTAATTTCTTTATTATACTTATAATATGATAAATTATTTTATATAACAGTAAATATTAGATTTTAAAAGAATAAAAAAATGAATGTAATAAAATTGAAAACATTAAGATCAAAGAGTTAATCATACGAAAAAAGATAAAATAAAAAGTAATTGTATACGTAAAAATATTAAAATAATATATAATAAAAAAGTTATCTAATTTCTAAAAAGTTATGCACCAACAAATTGAGTAGATGATATGATTATTAGTTTAATAAAAAATAAATAATTTTTTTAAAAATTTATTAAAATAATTTAATAATAAATATTATTTATAAAAAAAATTAATTTTTAACCAAAACCAACATCATATAATTCATGTTGTTGACCTCACTTAGTAAAATAAGATTTGACATTTTTTGTAACACATATAATACATTAAAATATGATAAAAATATATTAATAATATTTTTATTTTAAAATTTTTAATCAATATCTTTAAAGCACTGATTAACATTTATATTTAATAAATAAATTTAACTTAATCTAAGCTAGGTTAAATGGAAGCTCTAAGCTTGTAATTTGTCTTGGCATATTTACAGTGCTAATGCCTTAGAATGACTGTGACTTTTCCCAAAAGCTCTCAACTATTGAAAGCTCTGTGCCCTACCACTTAAATCTGCTTCAACAGCTATAAATATGACAATGTTAAAGGTGTCCCTTTGATAAACCTACCCATATGCATTAGATAAGAATTGGGGCTCTGCTTTGTTAACTTGTCCCATTGATAAAACCTACCATTGTAACACATTATGTAAGAGGGAAAATATTCAAATCATTATCATCAAATGCTCCATAAATAATATACTGGTGAAGTTATTGGACACAATTATTTGGAGTTAGGTGATGAAAATATTTTAATTTATTTTTATACTAAATTAGAGTTTATTTTCTAATAATATTAACTTTACTTCTTGGTTTATTGTCTCTTTAAACAAACATATCTTAACTTCTTTTCATTTACATTTTAAATTTAAATATTTTTATACTAACTAAAAGGTAGCTTGTTAATGCTATATGTATTTTTAATTTAAATAAAGTTTTAAAATAAAAATTACTAATTCATAGAGAAAAACTCTAAGAGGTGTACATAGTGTAAATAAGTAAGAAAAATATAAATAGTTATAGGAAGAAAATATAAAATTTATTAAAAATAGAGAAATTTATGTGAAAGTTGCAGTTAAAAATCAAGACAGGAAAGGGAATTTTAAGATAACAAAGGTATTAAAATGATTAATATTTTGAGGCTTTTAAAAGATATAAAATGTGGTAAATAATGATAAATATTGTTAAATTAATATTTTAAATAAAAAATAAAATAAATTAACATAAATTTAATATCTTAAAATTTTGTTTGTTTTTAATTTATCATGTAACTATCTTAATTTAAAAAATATATTTTTTCTTGCTTCCTCTTGAAAATCCAAGTTTTAAATACATTTTAAAAACATGATAAAAGATATTTATACCAAAAAGAAAAACAAAGACTAAAATATTCAGAAAAAACTTTGTGAGAGAAAAAAGTTAGTATAAAAAATATATAATTTTTTATAAATAAAAAATATATAATTTTTTATAAATAAAAAATATATAATTTTTTATAAATAAAAAATATATTTTTTTCTTAAAATTTAGAGAAGTTAAATAAAGAACTTATAAAAAAATTAACTTTTTATTCTATTTTTTCTCACATTCTTTTATCCAAGTTGACCGAAATCCTATAAAATAAACAACGTAGCCTTTATATTAGTTAAAAATAGTTAATGACACGTTCGGAAATGATCCTATTGTTGTTATTGAAGGATATGTCACCAGCAATAAATTAATAATTGCACAGTTTTTTCCAATAATGCTTAGCTGTTGCATGTAACGACGAAAATATCGTTGACAATAAAGTAAGACCTGTTTGGCTTGAAAAGTATTTTTATTTTAATTTTTTTAGTTATAAAATTTCTGTAAATGATTTTTTATTATTTAGTGTAAAAATATTTAAAAAATAAAAAATAAAGTAAAAAAAATACATTTTATAATTAAAAAATAAAAAAGAATAAATATGTTTCTTAAATTAAACTGAAATTTTTTCACCCAGCTTCATATCTACACCTGTAATAAAAATCATAAAAATGTTATACCTAGCAGTTGTTTCACATTCAAATTAAAAAACTGGGAATTCCCCTTTTTTTGGTCAACAATTGGAAATTTCTTTTATGGACTGAAAAGTGATTTCATTCATTTTGTCATATATCGTTTTGATTTATTGGGCCCACTTTTTGTAATATTACAAACCTTAACATATGGGAGATGAATGGGTTGAGTAGAGCCCAACAATTTACCATTCTGAGCTATATGGGTCACTTGGACTCTATGTATACATGATACATAAATTTGTACATTCTATAAGTAATTTTATAATATATATATATAAAATCAATTTTTATAATATATGATTTAATTTTTAAAGTGATTTTATATATGAAAAATCAATTTTTAGAAGAAATTAATACAATTGAAACATTTAGGAAAATAGAGTAGTAGCCCATTTTCCATTGATGCACACGCGTAGTTGATAAAGTGAGCTACCATAAGGAAGGTTTACACATGTTCTTGAAGCAATTGACACAAAAGTGGTATTTAATTGTGTAAAACGATTTATTTGAGTCGATAAAATTATTTGTTAATTAAAAGCTCATGCCATAAAAGAGTGTGATGAAAATCATGAAAAGTATTTCATTTGGGCTTGTTCACATAGTATGCTTTTTTGCATTGTTTCGTTCACAAAACCATAGACTATAAAGATAACAAATTTGAAAGCTTAGTTATTATCTGCCTTTATATTCACATATTATAAAGTATATTCATGCCTACACATGGGTAAAATAAAGCAAAATTCATGTAGCATCCAACAAAACAAGATATCTAGTATATTACAATATTTCAGGAATTTATATTTCAAATAACAAGCTAATTTTATTTTATTTTAGCATAGCATCTAATTATATAAGTTAATTTAGGCTGCAAGCATTCACAAACAGAAAAACAGGAAATAGAATCTTCTAGATTGCGGAAAAGATACTAATTTTGACGTGTAGGTGACCATCACCGTACACGTCGTGGCACATTTTAATTCGTCATCCGTGGATATTTTCGTAATTAGGTCGGCAACCAAGCTATAAATTCGACCTACCTCTCCCCAAATTCATACAAAGCAATTGCCCATTCATAATCACAGATCCATAACTTTGCTGTTTCTGATTCTTCAAACGTTCTTCTCAAGGTATCTCTAGCTCTCTCTTTCTCCTCTTTTTTAATACGATAGCTTGATTATGTTTTGCTTAACGTTTTGGTTTAGATTTATTGTGTTGGTCACGTTTGTGTTTCGATCTTTCAATTTTTGTGAACTATGTTAATCGCTGTTGATCGATTTTGGTGTTGGTGATTCAAATTTACTGGTTTTTCTGATTCGGCGATTGGTTTGTTGTATGAACAAAAAAAAAAAAAAAAACTGGTGCGAATAAATTCGCTACTTTTTAAATCCGGGTTTGATTTAATTACTGTTTTGGTGTATTAGGGTTTGTGATGTAATTTCTGTTGCTCAAAGATGTATGTGTATGATTATAATAAGTCTTTGATTTGAACAGATGCAGATATTTGTAAAAACCTTGACCGGTAAGACCATAACCCTTGAGGTGGAGAGTTCAGATACCATTGACAACGTGAAAGCTAAGATCCAAGACAAGGAAGGGATCCCACCTGATCAACAAAGGCTTATCTTTGCTGGTAAACAACTTGAGGATGGTCGCACCCTTGCTGATTATAACATCCAAAAGGAGTCCACTCTACACCTTGTGCTTCGCCTCAGGGGTGGCATGCAAATCTTTGTTAAGACATTGACAGGGAAAACAATCACTCTCGAGGTTGAATCGTCTGATACCATTGATAATGTTAAGGCCAAGATACAGGACAAGGAGGGTATCCCTCCAGATCAGCAGAGGCTGATCTTTGCTGGGAAGCAACTTGAGGATGGAAGGACCCTAGCTGATTACAATATTCAGAAGGAATCGACCCTTCACTTGGTGCTTCGTCTGAGAGGTGGCATGCAAATTTTTGTGAAGACTTTGACTGGAAAGACCATAACTTTGGAAGTGGAATCATCAGATACCATCGATAATGTGAAAGCCAAGATTCAGGACAAGGAAGGAATTCCCCCGGATCAGCAAAGGCTTATATTTGCCGGGAAGCAGCTTGAAGATGGAAGAACCCTCGCTGATTATAACATTCAAAAGGAATCCACTCTGCATTTGGTTCTGCGTCTTCGTGGGGGCATGCAGATTTTTGTTAAGACTTTGACTGGGAAGACCATAACTTTGGAGGTTGAAAGTTCTGATACAATTGATAATGTGAAGGCGAAAATTCAAGACAAAGAGGGCATCCCACCGGATCAGCAGAGGCTTATCTTTGCTGGAAAGCAGCTGGAAGATGGGCGTACCCTTGCTGATTATAACATCCAGAAGGAATCCACTTTGCATTTGGTTTTGCGGCTTCGAGGTGGCATGCAAATATTCGTGAAGACACTGACAGGGAAGACTATCACTTTGGAGGTGGAAAGCTCTGATACAATTGATAATGTGAAAGCAAAGATTCAGGATAAGGAGGGTATTCCCCCAGACCAGCAGCGACTTATTTTTGCTGGCAAGCAATTGGAAGAGGGTCGTACTTTGGCAGATTACAATATTCAGAAGGAATCGACCCTCCATCTTGTTCTTCGCCTTCGTGGTGGCTTCTAAGCTTGTCTCTTTATGCCTGTCATGTGTCTATGGTTCTTGTGTTGGTTAATCCTTACCTAGTCTTTAGCTACTGGTTGCTACCCATGTTCAGTAGTAATTGTTATGGTTTAAAATTTGGTGCAAGAACCAGCTCTTAATATTTGTGAAAAATGTGTTGTGAACCCTGTACTCAGTAACATTTGATTGTCTGCGCTTTTGTGCCGTGTTATATGTTTCTTCGTTTACAGCTTTGCAAATTTAACTTACATTGCAATACTTGATCTATTTTGAAGAGAAAGGCTACTGCTATTGTGGCTAGCTTAGCATGTTTACTTACCACCAAAACGTTGTTGTTAGGTACATATTTATAGTGATAATTTTTTTAGTTATAAAGGGTTCATACATATACTGCGGAAATCTTGTGTAGTATCAGTTTCCAATCAATACATAACAGATCGACACACAACAGAAAGGACAAGAAGAAGATGTGAACAAACTTCTATGAAAGAAAATGATGTCTAATTTGGTCAAATATATCACACAATTATGTAAGGAGGATGAGAATGGCGGTAACAAAGCCTAAACATATTGAAAAACATATTTACCGTATTTTCTTTCGTGACATTATAGAGATCCTCATAGCCCCACATCATGCTCCACTTTCTTGGCTCCTTTGGTAATTTTCCTCGGACAATGCTCCTTCCCAACTCTCTTAACAAGTCATGCACTAAAATCCACCCATACAAATTGTTAATAAGTGATTTGCCAATCATAACCCATAACAATTTCAGGAAAAAAATCCATCATGATCTAACAATTTCGTTGCTTTCTCCCCAATGTAGCTAGAAAAGAAACAAGCAATATCTATAAATATTTATTTTTCCATTTCCTCTAGTCCATCAAAACTTATTAGCAGCGCATCCATCACATCTTTGCTTGGATTTTCTTTCAATCTAGCCAATGCACTTTCCACTCAGATCGATTTCTCTATCAAACAATAACGTACTTAATACTTTACTGCCTAATGGGAGGCCATTGGCATACTCTAGTGCTTGACGCGTCAATTTTCTCAAGATCATTGGATTTAAAAGCTCTTTTGCGAAACAATTGATGAGCTTTATCTGTACTCAGGAATTGAACATTGTAAATTTCATTCACTCCATTATTTTTTGAGATATGAACATCTCTAGACACAATGATGATATTACTCCCGGCACCTAGATATTCAGGACGCAATGCCAATTTCTCCAATTGTTCAACATGATCAACATTATCAAGAACAATAAGCACCTTTTAGTGGCATAGCCTAGTTCTTACTAACATGGTTCCTTGGGAAATATTGTTTATCTCCGTATTTCCATGGTTTAGAGCTTGACAAAGAAGTCGTTTTTTGCACACCCATCTCCAGAATTCAAATGAATTTTGCCTATATCATCGATGGAACAGCAAGCATCAGATTGACGTAAGATTTTATCAAACAAAGCATTAGCAAGTGTAGTCTTTCCTATTCCACCCATGACACAAATTCCTAGATCGAACTCGGACAACTTCATTTGAGCCCAAATCCAAAAGCTCTTCCAATTGTTCCGCACGAGAGTGCATATCAACTAAGTCGTCCACAAATCTCAAAATTTGATTAGGAGACAATATGTCGGTTACGACTTCGACAATTTTTTCAATCTCTTCGTTCTGTAGCCTGAAGGACCAAGTAAAATGAATATAAACACCAAGTTATGACTTCGCAAAACAAAAATCACATACATAATACAAGAAACATAGCCAATACTTATTCTGCACATCCCAACCGCAACAATTGGTAACTGCTTTCAAAGCTTCCCTTCATTTTACTTATTCAGATTGTGTTTATGGTGAAAAATGATAATTTGTAAACAAATAATCCAAAGATCAATCTGGAGACTGGATTAGGTCCTTTTTGGATTTTAAGTGTGTTGTTAACGTAACAGTAAAATAGACGTCGCAAATTAAACAATTTAGCAAGAATAGTAAATATAAAACGTGTAAACTAAATCACAACGTAGAGGTTCTTTGCGGATAATGCTAAATACGAAACAAAATAACAGAAAGGAAATAAGCGACAAACTGGAATTAAAATGCAGAAGAGTAAATGTGCAGGAATATAAATATGCTGGAATGTAAACGTACGACTCTTCACAATGGCGAACAGCGGCCACCGTGGGTCTCCTTGTAGCTAGTGTCTGGCACGGTGCAAAGTTTTAGCGTTTCAGAGAATTTAAGTGCGGTGTCTGGGTGTAAAAAGTCATCATTTGTAAAATGACGCTTTGGAGTATTTATAGGCAGGAATATCACCACCGTTCTCCTCATTTTGCGGACACTTCTTAGTAACTACCTTCAACTGTTAATGCCCATTATCCAGGATTGCTTGTGATCGTACTGTTGGTTAGAGTTTCTTTCATAACTGCTATCGCCCACGATCTCCTTTACGTAGTGGTAAATGTTGATGACTGCTAGTAACCGCTTTTGGATTTTGCAATGACTTGACCTATCAACACTTTTATTTTTTTTATCTTTCGAGTATTTTTGGGAGAATTCTAAGAGACTCATTTAGGGTTATGGCCTTGGAATAATTTCTCCTTGACTTCTCTTTTCGACTAATTCTGGAGTTTTGAGAGCTTGTTTTGGTCTTGTGGACTTAGAATATTTTCTTTACTCATTTCTGTTTTTCGAGCAATTATAGAGGGAATTTGGAGCTCAACTAGATTTGTGGACCTAGAATATTTTTTGACCCTAAACCACTTCCTATTTTTCGAGCAGTTTTGGGTGTCAGGAACTTGGAAAACTCCTCGAAAAGCCATCAGTTTTGTGGACTTAGAATATTTTCTTGTCAGTCCTGTTTTTTGAGCAGTTTTGGATGTCAGTGACTTGAAAACTCCTCGAAAAAGCCTTAAGTTTTGTGGACTTAGAATATTTTCTTGTCAGTCCTGCTTTTCAAACAGCTTTGGGTGTCAGTGACTTGAAAACTCCTCGAAAAAATATTCAATTTTGTGGACTTGGAATATTTTCTTGTCTTTCAAGTAGTTTAGAGAAAAATTCACAATGTGACAAAGATCTCCTAAAATAGCTCAAAATGTGTCCTTTTTAATAAAAACTAAAGGTCTTGAATAATCTTCCAATATTCTCTTATGTTCAGGCATATTTTTTGTCTCCTTCTTAACCCTCAAAATTTTGTTGAAATGTAACTTCTTTTACAATAATTTTTAACTTAAAAAATTTTCTTTACCCCAAACAGATTGTTAAACCCATATCATTTATTTACAAGATACATGTATTATTATTTACATATAATACAAGTAATTTTGTAAGCAACATTAATTGTAAAAGAAGATTATCAAAGTATCATACACCGTATCTGATATTATCTTTTTATTTTACTTTACATACTGCTTGGGCATTTTTCGTTTGTTTTCAAACTTGTGTGTAAAAATACTAAAATAACTCCAGTAAACTAATGAAAGGAGTTAGACTCCAAGAATTAGTTCTAGCAATTATTGATAGCTACATCCAAATTTATACTGTACCTTTTTTCAATTGAAATCCTGACAACTAACAATAGATGACTGATGATGTCTGTAATTTATTATTGAGTAATTTATAATATTTTGTATTTGTTAAATGTTAATTGAAGGATTATTTAGTATTAAAATAGATTTAGATGGAGATTGAAATTTAAAAAAAAAAGTGAACAGTGTCAGAGAATAATGCAAAACGTGTAGTTTCGGTTGTGAAAAGTAACTATGGTGTTAACAATAATTCTAGCGTGAACAGTAATTCTGGCATGAATAATACCAAATTTTTTTTTTCTATAAATAGAGGTTTTTGCACAAAATTTTTACTTTTTCACACTTCTAAAAGGTTCTCAAAGGTTTCAAGGTCATATATCACAATTTTCTCTCATACCAAACCTTTATAAACTTAGATTTCTCTCTAGATCCGTGATTTTGTGTATGTTCTAAGGAATTTGAAGTAAGTTTTTCTAAGTTTGAAGTTAGATTCACCGTTCGTTTCTTTTCTTCTTCTCTTTCTCATAGAAGTTCATGGTCTTCTTAGGAGAGATTTTGTTCTAAAGCCAAATCTTTAGTGAATCTTGCGTTAAAACAAGTAATATTCAGTAATACTAGTGTAAATCATTATTCTAAGGTAAGGAGAGCTTACTTTAGCCTATAATCAATGTTTTGAACGGTTTGATATGCTATTAAAGAAATGTTTGAGTTGATTTTGTAAATCTCTTTGATAAAAGCTGAGATATAAAGGATTTAATACTTGAAAGTTGTTTTTCTATGCTGTAACTGCTGATAATTAATTTAATAACACTGAGATTTGATTGATTTATTATAAACTTGTCTTAGTTGAGCTATTGAAATGATTTTACCCGTACTAGATCATGCTAAGATATATGTCTTACATCATTATAGAGCCGAGTTACACGTTTAGATAGGTAGACGTGTAACGATAGAGTATGCTGACCTGTACTGTGCTGTCTGAATCCAGATACCGAAATGGGTCGCTCCCGGACCAGTTCAGTTTCTTCTGGATTACTTAGGTTGTGAAACTAGTTAGAAACCGTTTTCATATTATGCATTAGATGAGCTGAAAATATATGAGGCTATTGTTATGAGTAATATTTTGTTTTATATATATATATATATTATTTTATTTTATTTTGTAAGATCACCCTTGCATTTTTGTCTATGCTGTTGTGTGCGTGTGTACTGCGATAATCGTATGGTAGTACATGAGCAGTGTAAAGTGTTGCATTTATTTCATAGGCTGAGGGGCCAGTAGAGAAATGTTAAAAGTTAGAGTCCAGTAATTTTGCATTAAAGTTTCTTTTCCTTATATTTTGAGACCTCGTATAAATGAAGTGATGTAGTAAAAACTTTGTGTATTTTTTAGTATTATGAACTAAATGTAATATTATGTTGTTCTGTTGGATATTTTTCATAAAAAATTCTATTTATTTTGAATTGAAAAGTGAATTTTATACTTATATTATTCGTTATTTATTTATCTCAAATAAGTAAGTGGTTTAGAAATAATATTTTCGATTTCTTCCTTACAAAAAGAGGGTCGTTACATACGACAACAAATGATAATCCATGGTCAAATATGCTTGTTATTATTTAAGCAATGTTGACTTTAGCCTGGAAATGTGATAAACAGAATTACCATATCATCAACTACATGATAAAAAAGAGTATTCAAGACTGATTACAAATTTATAACTAAAATGTGCCTTGCTGTATTCAATCTTACCTCAAACGGATTAGAATTTATTGATGGAATTGTGGCTGAAAAGAAGTCGATATGCTTTCGTCAGCAAGCTCAGTGATGCATGGCTAATCACATTAAAAGCTTGAGCTTTCGAGACAAAGAATTTCTGCTAAACATCATGTTTGAGTTTAATTCTTGAAGAGCATCCTGAAATACCCACCGACACCCACAATTTTTCACTTCCAAATGCAAACCTTCAGAGCAGTAATAAATGGTGGTTGCAAAGTCCATTTTATCTTCATCTTGGATTCCGTTTGTATGATCACTTAGAAGATCCACGAATTCTTCCCTACTGAAAAAGAATATCAATAGGTGATCTAATTCAACTGTGACCAAATCTTTCTTGACAAGGACTTGAACACACCAATCGACTGCATAAGTACCTTTTACGTGAAAACCAATTCCAATATTTGCATCATAATTATCTAGCTGAATATCACCCAGACTAGTTGGATCATGATGTGCTACAAATACTGCACAGCAAGCAATACCTATCCAGTTTGGGTCTTCCATAATGGGAGACCGGTCCATGCTTACTGAACTACCCACATTTTGTTTACTGAACCACCTTGGAATCTGAGTTCCGGGAA